TCCTTGCTGTCTACGCTGTTGACGAGGAGACTGGCGTCGCAACGACTGATGCTTCTGGGGCACCCATCAGCCAAGGTACCACTGGGCGACAGGAATCAGACCATCTTAAGAGGACTCTGTCCAACCACGACGGTCTGACACAAACAAGGCCTGGGTTCTCAGCATTGTCAAACTCAATCATGGCCACTGAAGCCAACGTAGGTGCCATGGGCAAGGCTGAGAAAGACAGGTATCAGGCATGTGTGGAGGTTTCCGACCGATGTGTCAAATTGCTGCGAAAGACGCGTCTTCAAGTGCGTGCTGTGGTCGAGGTGTTCCACTGCAAGAGCCCCAAGCACATGATTACTGAAGTGGTGAGTAGCTCCGGATTGTGTGAAGTGCTGCAATTCGCTAACAGCTCATTGATAGATTGATTTCTTGGAGCCAACTCTTGTGATTCTTGGTTCTCGAGGGCGGAACGCTCTCAAAGGGTAAGTTTTGAGTTCCGCTCCTGATTCATGGATGCTAACTCCGGCAGTGTCCTGCTCGGGTCTTTCAGTAATTACTTAGTCACCAAGTCATCGGTGCCGGTCATGGTCGCACGGAAACGGCTCCGGAAACACAGCAAATACAAGCGGCAAAACGTGCGGATGTCCAATGTCATCCAAGGCTCCAATGATCGACTTGCGAATGCGAAGATTGATTAATTGTTTGTCGAAAGATTTGTCATTGATGCGTTTCGGTTGGAGTTCGTGGCGGCGGCCTGAGTTTGCGAGCCTGAGGATTTGAGTTTTGGTGTTGCGAAACGCGTGCTGTTTGGCCATTGAGGATAACGGCTGCTTCGATTGGCAATCGCTGAGTCTGGCAATATCCTTTCAACTATCGGTCTCTCTACACTCTTTGGGTTAAGTGGCTTATCGTCAATCTATCGGAATACGCGTCCCGATAATGCATGAAATGCTTTGAACTTGACCGCGACCATGACCGTGACGATCAATTGCAACACGCCCTCTAGTCGTGGCTTGGGGGGTTTTTGACTCTGTAGAGACCATGACATCTGTCACGATGCCTCTGCATGCAGCTCAACACATTCGGAAATTGCCATGCCGTGGAAAATTGCAGTACTGCGCAGGCTATTTTGCTTTTTTCCTTCTAGAATTTCTAGCCCCAGGCAATCACACTGCAACCAACCGTTAGACGAGACAGGCCCATGAAGCTGCATGTTTCATATCGTGTATTTCCTTTTTTCCTCATGACGGCTACTTATTCCGATGCTTTTGCCGACGTCATGCTCATGGGTTGCCGTTACGGCAAAGGCCCGTGCCATCAGACAGGACAACCCGACTATTTGGATCGTTCAAACCCTACTAACCTTCACCACATTGCACTACGCCTCATACAACCTAATCTCTTGTCATCAGATATGCCAAGCCCTCGTGTTTCCCCGCAAATACTCAATGCGGTAGTCGGTGCGCCTGTGGCGTTGGTGGGCTGATAGACGACGATTATGCATGGCGTCCACTTGTCGCGTGCTCCCAGATGGGCCCAAGAGTGAGGATACGGCTGTACATCGGAAGACTTTGTGTGTCCCGAGGGACCAAGGGTCAGAGGGTTGGGATGAGCAGCTCAACGTCAAATAGGTCTCTTGCCTTGCCATGAAGCACAACTTGTGCATCAAACATTACTACTACTTTTCCAACACAACTACCGGGAAATGTATATCCACATGGCTTTGCAGACATCACCTCAGTGGTTCGCCCGCTTCGGACAGTGCGAATTCATTGATATTGATGAGTCAGACCTGGATACATCAAGTCTCCACGCCAGACTCATCAAGCCCTCTACACGAGATGCCCTTCTCAACCGACACAAATGGTCAACAATACCATGCGAAGACGACATCGATGCTGCCACACTCTTGTCGGACCTCGGCCGCCTAGCACCCTCGGTAGTCAAGGAGTTTATCCCAAAGGAACATTGCGAGAGCAATTTTGCCTTTCGGCTGATAAACGATATTGGCTATCATGGGGAGGAGGGAGGATATATTGCTCTTAGCTATTGCAAGAAGCATGCTGCAAGCACTACACCGAGAAAGGTTCTGACACCTGTCGGAGATCTTCCCTTCGGATGGCTGAAGGAGGTTGAGCAATTCCCACTACCAACTACTTCTGCACTTTTCCAAGCCGTTGTAAGAGAGAGGGGCGTGGATGAAGGGCTGTGGTATGACCAGGTGTGCATCGAACAGGACGACGAAGTCGAGAAGAACGCAGCTATCGGAGTTATCGACAATGTCTACAAGAATGCACGAGCAGTCATTGTAGTACTGGACGACATTGTTGTTTCGCCAGACGAAGAACGGTTTCTGCGTTACTACGTTGAGCAGTACAATTACTCTCAAGTACCTCTGGACCAACAACCAAACTCTGGACTGCACCCACCTTTCATGCAGCAGTATGAGATGTTCAACACATTGGTCCAACGCATTCTGTCTTCTGAGTGGTTTGACCGTGCATGGTGTGCCCATGAGATGCGAATGGGACAGAGCCATGTTTTTCTAGTGCCTTGTTTACGGCATTACGAAGATGAAGTGCAGACAGTCGTACGCTTTACCGGGGCCTTCTTTACTCATCTTTTAAGTCTTGCAATCGAAGTCATCCACTTCACACCAACCCTATCTGCAAAGCTTCGTTCATTGTTGGACTTCTTCCAACAGCAAGACGCATTCATCAAAGGAGACCTCTCTGTACTTCGAACACCAGACAGCCAACACTACCCAACTTCGAGAGAAACATGTTCCATATCAATGGCTGCCGATATATTTCGCATGAAGGCTGGAGGAAACCCGCGTCTACCAGAATACCAACGAAGACTGGACGCTAACCGAGATAAGACCAGCATTGCCCTGAACGCTTCTGGTTTGCCTCTGGCCTTAGCTCCTCCAAATCCATTTTCGAGACCCAATCTTGAGGACGAATGTCTTCGCTCGCTGCTCCTAGTCGGGATTGCGGCACGAGACCCTGTTGCACTTTGCACCATTGGCACACCACTCCAGCTCCATGACGGATCTACCTCATGGCTCTGTCGACCAACATCTTTGGATGTTAGCTCCTCTCGAGTACCTCCACATTTCCCCAGACACGCAAACCAGTTGGTCCAAGCAACCGACGGCAGAGCAGAATACGCACAGTTGGATCTCATTTTCCTAGACCTCCCACATCGCACCCAGCCGAGTGCTTCTTTTCCATCACACGTTGCTCGGGCACGCATGCTCATCGATCTCTGTGTTCAATATCAAATACCAGGATCTGGACTGTGGGGCTTCTCCCAAGCACCGAATCACCCGCGCACGCCAGCCTTGCGCAACATCTTCATTCAGACACTAGCATGTGTTTTCCAGTGCGGGTCACAGTGGGTGGTAGATGTCATCTCTAGCCTCCAAGAGACCAACGCGCCCCGCCTGGAACCCTACACCATTGAGGTGCTGCTGAACCCACACCTCATCTTGCAAAATTATATTTTACTTGCCGAGGGCCAGGGTGCAATGACGGCACTTGTGCATTTTCTCTCTACCCTAATTGCATCTGGGATCCCATGGCCTTCAGGCGCCTCGGAACGCACACATGGCCCCCTCATCATATCCGCACCCTCCTCCTCGGCTCCATATGATTACGCCGGTCCATCTACACAAGGCAGCAAGGCTATCATTTTTGCCCCTTTTGAGCACTCCAAGACACTGCTTATTGCTGTGCCCAAGGCCGTACAAGGATCCGAATATAGTGCCCTGGCACGCGGCTGGATTCTAACCAGCATGAATCCTTACACTGGAAGCTCTAAGCCTACCGTGAGCTGGACTTTGCAATCTAAAGGTGCTATCTTTGGAGATGTGAACTTCAACGCTAGGCTGGCTACTAGTGGGGAAATGGATGTCAGGAACCATCGTGTGTATGGGCCCACGCGTCATTGAGCTCACTCATTTTTTTCAAATCCCTCTTCTTTTGATTTGGCGGTCTTCAGCTTTTACGAAATCTTAATGATACCTATTAATGAATACTTAGATTGATGACTTTGCACTCATAGACGGGGGGTTATAGACTTGGTAGAACACTTGTATATTATTATTACCTTTCATGTTACAATATCAAACTTGAATATTCCGTATCTGCTCCGTCTCCATTGATATCCGTATACTCGCTGAGATCTTGCTATCCCGCAGACCATCTTGTCTTTTGCCCCCGCTCTGGTAACGTTACCTTCGGCAGTTGTTTGCCCAAGCATCCATCCCACCACTGAGTCAAGATTGACCTTGTTGTCCAGCATCACCCAGCATGGCCTCGTCCCAACAGCCGAGGTTGTGTAAGACGTATACTAGGTCGTTCATCTTCATCCCTTGCCTCCCCTCCTCGTGACGCAACACCATCATACGTACCTCGGCCCAAAACACTCAGGTCCACACACGTCACGAAGCAACGCAAATCGCAACCAGACAAACGCCATTGACAAAGCACTCGTAAAAATTATAATTTTCAAGCCTCAGCCCGACACATTTCGGCATCGTGTGCTCCCAACACGTTCTTTATCTGTACCACGCATCCTATTATTTCTTTCTTTTCCAATCCTTCCACCGTCTCAACGCCAAAGACAACAACAAAAAGGAAGAAACAAGAACGAATGCATCATCAGTCACAGCCTCGGTACGCCAACCTTGCAACGCAGTCTGATTCGACCACACACATCTACACCATAGTATTGGACCCTTTCTTGGCTTTTCTTCTCCCCGAAGCCATCGAACTCGCACCGACTGCCCCCAACGTCCTCAGTGCTTATCCTCTTCTTTCTTTTGTTAAGGCCAAGTCTCCATATGCACACATTCGTCATACGGGCACGATCACGAGTTACGAGTAGTGTACGACTACAACCACCTCCCCACCCGTTTCACAGCATGCCCACATTCTCACAAAAAAGGAAAAGCAAAAGAAGGATCCATACCTTCTAGAAGGTACCTGCACCCTTATCCACTTCCCCCTGCATCTCACATTAATCCTTCCAATACTCACTACCACCCCCCGTCCCAATCCACACATACCCACACGAGTCAAGTCGAACCCGCATACTCCCTCCATCTGCAATCTTTCCATGCATTACGCAACCTCCCCCCAGCCATGGAACCCCCATCGAAGCAAAAAGCAAAAAACATCCCTCCTCGAAAAACCCGTATCTGGCAAGCCCCCACTCCTACCCCCAAAATTCTGCCCAGAAAACGAGAAAAAAAGCAAAACGTGACCTCAACATGTAATAGAAAGGTCAAGTATCTGAAACACTCACCTTGCCCCACAACTACTGTATCCGCAACACGCAGGTCTCAAACCCACCAACACCAAAGCAAAGAAAAAAAAGCAAAAAGGTTTGACATCGTGCATCTTACCCATCGTGCATATACGTACGCCATGCCATGCATCTAGTCAGCCAGCCAGCCAAACCACCCCCCCCCCTTCCTCCCTCATACAACCCTGCTCGATTTAGCATCCGGCGTCTCCCGCATGTGTACGCCTTCGTTTGATCATCCCCTTAGTTACACCCACCATACTTACCATAAACAACCTTCTTTGCCTTAGGAGCCCGTTAGCTAATCGCTAATGTGACTCTTTCCGGGAAAAGAAAAATAAGATTGGGAGATAAAGTGCTACTATAAATCCCTCCCCCGCACCCCCCCTCCCCCCCATTCTCAAAAAAAGCATAGGATGTAAGGTAAGATGTAAGACCCTGAGTCGTTTAAGAGGGAAAAAAAAATCGAGGTCTGAGAGGGGATGTGAGAGATGTGGGGTTGCGTGTCCTGTGCATCGACGAACGCACGTGGCGGTTGATACAGAGGGTACAAGGGTAGTAAGGGAGGGGAGGGGAAGGGTTTATGTGCCCAACCCGCATGCATGCAGATGCAGTGTACCCGTAGATTGAGGGTAACGTCAAGCCAAGCGAAAAAGCAAAAAAAATAAGTGTAGTAAGCACTACATAACACAGGGAGGGTCAGGGAGGATGTTACAATATCACGATGATGTATCAATATTTCACACACATATGCTATGTGCCAAAAAGAACTAAATGTCTATCATGCCCTTTTTTTCCTTTCCCCAGCCCAGTCCCGATACTTTGTCGAAAATGAATGCGAAGTTTATGTACTCTCCTTGCCGAGAGGAATTAGTTCCTCCTCAATAAATGCACGAGGGGAATACAACTTCGTGCTACCGTATACGACTCTTCGTTTTGGACCAGTACCAGCTGCAGCGCTGGTGCGCTTCGCCCACGCCTGAATGTTAGTCTCTTCGTCCATGCTGCCGCCGCCCACAGGAAAGACAATGGCTTCAGAGAAACCCTGTCGCCTTTGTCCAAATGTCGCATCGATTCCGCGTCCGACAGTACTTTGCTGGTTCCGCGACTGGCTTGCAGGAGGTAGGGTGCCTCGTGCATTGGCAGATCGGGGGTCAAAGTAGAGGTAGTTTTCTGTCTTGTTGAGCGCGCTGGTTGTGGCATTTTGAGGATCCATGAGGGATTCTGTAATTTTGGTGATTGTAAGATCTTGGTTGGCAGGCAGGTATGATTTGATACCCGAAAGCACACCTTCAAAGTTGGCGCCTAAACCAGCTTCCTTGAACCGGTCTGTTACCCTTGATGAAAGACTGGTGAAGCCGCCGAATAGCTGTGAAGATGCCTGAGCGGGCTGTGTAGGAGCGGCAGTTGAGAGCATGCTCATTTGTGTAATCTGGCGCACTGTTTTGATGTACGCAAGGGCTGCTGTGTCTACGCCGGCGGCTTTGAGAGCGTTCTCGAAGCCTTCCAGCTCGGCGCGCGACACCTCTTGTTCCGTCTTCAAGTACCACTAGAAAGTGATTATGTTAGTGCAATCATGCAATTTCTTTTAAAGTGGACATCATACCTGCAGGAAGAATCTGAACTTATCCATGGGATCATTTCCCTTGGCTGGGTCTTTGAGTATCTCCATAACGGACGATTTAGTCTGCTTTTCAATCTCTTCTTCCAGCTGGAAGAACTCATCAAGTTTACGTTCCTTGATGCCCTCCATCACAGCTTCGAGGATAGACATGTGAGCTTCAATAGTAGCCTTCCTTTCTCGCAGTTCCGGCAGTTGAGAAATTGCGCCTTTGAGATGTGCTGCGAAATGATTGCTTTCTCCTGAGAGGTCGTCCAATGACGATGACCCCGTCTTCTTGGTCAGCGCATCCGCATCCTCCGAGTACTTTGTCCATTCGTTTGTCACTTCTTCTGCGACATTTGGGAAGGGCTGCGAAGCATTGCGGTTCCAGAACTACATGTAAGAGGTAGTTAGATACTTGGTCAAATATGACTTGTGGATGAGTACTTACATAATCAGTTGCTGCCAAGTCGTACGACTGCTTTTTGGTACCGCTCTCTGGCTTGTTCTTGTCCTTTGGAACAGTCACTTCGATCTTGTTCAGGTGGAAATTGCAGACGTCGTAGACGAGACTCTCTACATGCTCTAGTCAGCTCTAGCCTTGGTATGGGGAAGGTGCCTGGCGTACGATATATCCAACTGTGGCTGAACATTGGATTGAGATCGGCGTTCCTGTCAACGATGACGAGTAATGGGCGGGAGGCTGTTGACGATGATGCGAAGAGGCTTTCCTTGTTGTTGAGTACATGATCGCGTAGCTTTCGGTCGAGTTTGGCAGCAATGAGTTCGGCAGCGCCGCCACTAGGAGCTCTTATGATTGGAACGACGGCCATGGTAGCAACGACGGAGAAGAGTCCTGAAACGATGCGATCCATGTGCTCATCGAGTTCTGCATCTTCGGTTTTAGACGAGTTCAGACGATAGTAAGACTGATCAATGTTGAGACTACGACCGAGTGAGTGGGAGTGGCGTATACTTTAGGAAACACAAACGTACCTGAACTGATCATGTCCCAATGTAACAAAGTTGAGATACCTTGGGTCAGGTTAGCAATTGTTGGATCCAATTCTCCAGCATCTCATACTGATCGTATATCTGCGCCAGATTGCCAGCAGCTTCCGGCATGGTCGCCAACTCGGCGCCCCATGATTCTAGCAAGTGGCGCGGCACACTGGAGAGAAAGTTGATGTATGCGGGGGTGTACAGGGCGTCGTTCAGATCCTTGGTGACGAGGGCTAGGTTCTCAGCTGTGGGTGCCATGAGATACTGGTGGGGGTGGTCAGTCTATGCTTTGTGGGGTTGCCATATCACCAAATGCTAGCGTGTGTGTTCAATGGGATGCGCAACGCATTTGGTGGGGACAGGGTTGCTCACGATTCCAGGTGCTGGGATGGGACTCCGGCGCGACTTGAGATTCAAGTGCACAGTGACCTGGATGATGTTCAGTAGACCATAATAGTGTTGCGGAGAGTCAGTTCATACTCCGGCCGCCCTCAGGTCATTGACCCGCAGAACAGAGCTGACGACGGCTTTGGCAGCATCGTCGTAGACCAGAACACCTATTCGGACAGCAGTCTCAGCACTTATCTCTTCAAGGTGGCAGGTCAACGCTATGACGTTGCGACTTACGCCATGCTATGTCGGGATTCGTGGGCTCGTTCGACTCGTCCTGAGCGGCATCGCCGTCGGCCGGGGGGTTCAGGTTGAGCAGGCGTTTAATTGAGGCTAGGATGGTTCTGTCAGTGGCGCTGGCGATGGTGCAGGCGAGGGAGCAAAGACGTGCCTATCTGGCGGTCCCGCAGTGAGACGGCCATTGTGTTCTAATGTGTCGTGGCACCCGCCGAGTGTCAGGTCTTTCGCATGCGCAAGGGGGAGGGTGCAGGTGTATCTGCAGAGGGTAGTGGAGAGTGGGCTCGCCCAAAGTACGCAAGAGACCACGGTGGCGCGTCTGCCTTGGTCTCTGCCCGCTGCGCGCTGCTTGCTGTTCGCGGGTGGATGGGTGTTTGGTGATGCTGGCCCAGGTTGCCTGCCCCGCCTGGGACTAGCGCGGCGCGCTACTTGGCGAGCGGGCGGGCTCTCAAAACGAGCTCGCCCCTTCGCCGCGCTCCCTCGCTCTTCAACTCACCTCGCCCACAACAACCCACCCCCCTTCTTCGCTCTTGACACTCATGCTACTTTTCAGTGAACTCTCGCCCACCTAATAAGGGCATCTGATTCTGAGGCTAGATTCTATTTTCGAGTCCTTGCTTTGGGGGAAAGTGTGCTCAGGCTGGCAGCGGTGTTTGTCGGGAACAGGCTTGGGTTGCGGAGGGCAGGCAGAGTGACCGTCATCTTCAACTTCTGCTACTAATCCAGCTCCGTCTTTGGACTCGACAGGCTTCGCATCACAGAGAGAATCTGGCCGAGCTCCTGCGCGAGGCGGCCCACAGTTGCGCGGTGCCAACCGGACGGGGGCGCGTCAAGCAGGCCTCATCCGCCGCGTGTGTTGTGCTCTGGTTGCGCGCGCGCATGCAAAACGTCAAGTGACGCATCAGCAAGTGTGCTCCTGCTCCTCATCGCATAATACGCGAGGCAAAGTGCCAGGTCATAAAAACCAATTCTACGCTTTCGTGGACTGGCCGATTCGGCTTCGCAGGCGTCAGTCGGCATACGAGCTCTGCTCTGCGTTGTGAGTGAGGGCAGGCTGCACCTTGGGTGTGCATCTACTCCATCTGCCCACCAACCCCCAGAGACAGCAACCTGGAAGCGCTGCAGGCCGACAGAGACAGCAACCAGACGCTACCGCCTAAACCGGTGTTTTATCGACCTTTTTTCTCCGCTTCACATTCTCCCGAACCGGCATCCTGCTACGCTCGTGACTCTGCGCCAGTCTGCTTAGCGCCTAGTGCTTCTGCATCGTCGCCTAATTAATCCCCTTTGGCCTGTCCCAGACACATGTGCGTCATCAGCCAATCACAACCCTGTAATTGACAGCTGACACTTTGGCTAGCCAAGATATCCCTTCCCTCCCTCCACACACATACGCCACACATCATGGCGTCAAATCACGTGCCCGCTGACCAGGTGCCGTTGCAAGGCCAAAATGTCTACGCCGATCCATCCTACCAGCACCTCTTTTCTTCTGTCGACCGCTACGGCACCCCGTCGTGGGAGGCCCAGCTACATCAGCACTCATCCCTGCCGCCGACTGCATCGGGCCAGAACTGGCACCCTGGCTCGTTTGCACAACAACCCTTCAACGCCATCAGCCAATCGTACGCTGCTCAGAGCCACGCTTTGCGCACAGAGTCACCGTACCAGTATGGCCAGTTCAACCAACAAGGCCCTTTGGCCAACTATGGTCAGGCCTCTAATGTTGACCCGTCGCTGGGTATGGACCCCAATACCGTCCGCCAGCAACAACACTCTCCTTACCAGATGCCAATGCGTACTGTGACTCCTCAAAGCCATGTCGGTACAGTGACCCCGCAAGCTCTACAGCAGGACACTGGCTCGCTTCGGACTAGTCGTCCTCCGATATCTGCTTATCAAGTAAGTC